CTCTTATTTCTTCATATGGGCACTTAGTGCAATGAACTTCCCTCATAACACTGCTTTCAAGGTGTCCCATAAGTTCAGGTATGTTGTGTCCTCATTCTCGTTGAAATTTACGAAGTCCTTAATTTCTTTCTTTATTTCTTCTTTGACCTAGGTGTGGTGCAATTGCACCTTGTTCAGTTTCCATGAATTTGTAGGGTTTCTGCGATTTGTGTTGTTGAATTCCAATTTTAAAGCATGGTGGTCTGATAAGATACAGGGAACTATTCCAATTCTTTTGTATCTGTTGAAGTTTGTTATGATACCTAGTATGTGGTCGATTTTAGAGAAGGTTCCACGTGGAGCAGAGAAGAAGGTACATGCTTTTGTGTTTGGATGGAATGTCCTATAGATGTCTGTTAAATCCAGTTGAGACAAAACTTCTGTTAGTTCTTTTGTTTCTTTGTTGTGTTTCTGACTGGTGGTCCTGTCTAGTGTTGAGAGTGGTGTGTTGAAGTCTCCCACTATAAGTGTGTGAGGTTTTAGGTGAGGTTTGAGTTTTAGTAGCATTTCTTTTACGAACGTGGGTGCCTTTGTATTTGGGGCATAGATGTTCAGAATTGAGACTTTGTGTTGATGGATTTCTCTTGCGATGAATACGAAATGACCATTTTCATCTCTTTTGATTAATTTTGGTTTGAAGTCTAACTTGTTAGATATTAGGATAGCCACACCTGCTTGCTTCTTGGGCCCATTTGATTGGAAGATCTTTTCCCAGCCCTTTACCCTGAGGTAATGTCTATCTTTGAAGCTTAGATGTGTTTCTTGTATGCAGCAGAAGGATGGATTCTGTCTTCTGTTAACCTGTGTCTTTTTATAGATAAGTTAAGACCATTAATGTTGAGGGAGAGTAAGGACCATTGATTGTTAATGCTTGTTTGTTTTAGATTGGTTGTTTGCAGTGGTATTTTGAATATATTTGTTCTGCTTTACCCTTGGTTTCTGGTGTAGTTAGATTATCTGTTGCCTACATTTTTATGGGTGTAGTTACCTTCCTTGGGTTGGAGTTTTCCTTCCAAAACTTTCTGTAGGGCTGGATTTGTAGACATGTATTGTGAAAAATCTGGCTTTGTCATTAAATATCTTGTTTTCTCCATCTATAGTAATTGAGAGTTTTGCTAGTTATAGTAGCCTGGGCTGGCATCCATGGACTCTTCATACTTGTAGTGCATCTATCCAGGACCTTCTGGCCTTGAGGGTTTCCATGGAGAAGTCAAGTGTAATTTTGATAGGTCTGCCTTTATATGTAACCTGTCCATTTTCCTTTGCTGCTCTTAATATTCTTTCTTTATTTTGTATGTTGGGTGTTTTGATTATTATGTGTTGAGGGGTCTTTTTTCTTTGGTCCTGTCTATTTGGTGTTCGGTATGCTTTTTATAAATTCATGGGCATGTCCTTCTTCAGATTGGGTAAGTTTTCCTCAATGACTTTGTTGAATATGTTTTTAGCACCTTTGAGCTGGGCTTCCTCACCTTCCTCTATGCCTATTATTCTTAGGTTTGGCCTTTTCACGGTGTCCCACATTTCCTGGATGTTTTGTGTTAAGGATTCGTTGGATTTATGATTTTCTTTGGTAGATGAATCTATTTCCTCTAGTTTATCTTCCGCGCCTGAGATTCTCTCTTCCATCTTTTGAATTCTGTTGGTTATGCTTGTGTTTGCCCAGTTTTTCTATTTCCAGCATTCCTTCGGTTTGTGTTTTCTTTATTGTCTCTATTTCAGTTTTCAAGTCTTGAACCATTTCCTTCACCTGTTTAATTGTTTTTTCTTGGCTTTCTGTACTTTCTTTAAAAAATTTGTTCATTTTTTCTTTGTTTTTTCTTCCATTTCTTTAAGGGATTTTCTCGTATCTTCTTTGAGGGCCTCTGTCATTTTTATGACAATAATTTTTAAGTCGTTCTCTTCTGCTTCATCTGTTTTGTTGTGTTCTGGTCTAGTTGGTGTAGATTTCCCAGATTCTGGTGGTGTTATGCTTGTCTTTCTGTTGTTAGGTGTTTTCTTGTATTGCTGTATTCCCATAGCTTCTTCCAGTAGGTGTTGGTGGGGTCTCTCCCCCTCTCTCTATGGTACATCCCCAGTGGGCTTAGGTGGGTCAGAGGTTCGATGTCTGTAGGACTGGGTGGTCCAAGCTCTCTAGGAGGTCTCTCCACAGGCAGTGGCCCGGTGATGGGGGTCAAATACCAGGCTCCAGCAGAAGACAGGCGATTGGAGTCAAAGATCTCCAAGGCTGGGACTCAGAATGTTCCTTAAGCTGATAGGCAGATCTAGCCTCCAGCTGAGCCTCTTTGGCAGAGGCCCTGCGATGAGGGTCAAGGATCCAGCCCACAGGAACTCAGAGATAGGCGGATCTCTGGGAGGGGCTCGGAACTCCAGTAGAGGACCAGCGGTCGGGGTCAGAGACCAGGCAGGTGGAAATTACGGACGGTCCCGTGTGGATAGGCAGGTCTAGTGTGCTCAGAGCCACTCCAGGAAGTTCCCCCAATTTGTTTTGTTTTTAATTTCTTTTTTTTTTTTTTTTTTTTTTTTGAGAAAGGGTTTTTCTTTTTCAAAAAGATTTATTTATTATATATACAGTGTCCTGTCTATATGTTTGCCTGCACACCAGAAGAGGGCATCAGATCTCATTATAGATGGTTGTGAGCCACTACGTGGTTGTTGGGAATTGAACTCAGAACCTCTGCAAGAGCAGTCAATGCTCTCAACCTCTGAGCCATCCCTCCAGACCTGGTGCAGTGTTTTGAATATACTAAATACACAATAATTCTAGATATGAATTTCTTCCCCTTCTCCAGAAATAACCTCTAAATTCAAAGAATGCCTTATGGTATTATATACAACAGGAGCTCACTTCACATTCAGAGATGCTGTCTGTGTATACCCTATAGTCTGTGTATACTCTGAATCAGCATCCAACACATGGTGCTGGTTTTCCAAAATTCCCAAATTCTCAAAATTCCTGAATCCGGGAATCACAGAGTAGAAATAGAAACCATCATCACCCTAGGGATTTGGAAGGGAAAGTTTCACTTCCTGTTTTCAGGAAGAACTGCTCTGCTGGCCTCTACATATTGCCTCCAGGGGGAGAAATTCAGATACTAATGGCAGAGCAAGGACTCCACTGAACTTGAAGATAAGGTTTCTCCCCTGGAGGGCTTTGGGGTCCTCAGCCTCTGAATCAACAGGCTATGAATGGAGGAAAGTGTTTCTGGAGTGATAAATCTGATCTTCCAATAGGAAAATCTGACTTCTATTCTGCAACTTGGCAAAGAAGGATGTGGCAAACAGTGAGGCCCTTTAGTGACTCTCTTAGTGTTTCCTAGTCCTATACTTAGGGCCAGTGACCTTTGGGAATCAAGTTGTAGATCCCTCACCAGGTAAGGAACCACAGTCCATTGAGGTGCTTTATGAAGACAAAGGCTGTATGTAGAAGATGGTAGTTATAAACATCAGCGATGGCATATGACATATTTATAAATACGATGACATGTGATCTGTCCCAGAAAAAGCAATGGTGATTATCATGTGTATTTCTTCCCTGTTTTGTTAAGAATATGTTTGTGTCTTTACAAACATGTATTAAGCAAATTTGTTTTCTTTCTCCTATTTTGTTTTTCCTATTTAATATGGGACTTGTTGCCGATAATATACAAATATTTAAGCACTGTTAGTTGCATTGTAGTTATGTGGTGTCAGAATTATATTAAGAATCATGTGAAATTTCATTGCCTTTTCTGAACATTTTTGAATTTATGCTTCCATAGAATATTTCTCTCACAGACCATCAGTGGTACTGGGTTTAAGAAAGTAACCCAGTCACAAAAAGAGGAACATGGTATGTTCTCACTCATATATGGATTTAAGACACAGAGCAAAGGATCACCAGCCTATAATTCACAGCGCCACAGAAACTAGGATACAAGGAGGAACCTAAAAGATTCATACAAGGTCCCTCATAGAAGGGAAAAGGAAGAAGATCTCCTGAGCATATTGGGAGTGAGGGTGGGGAGCAGAGTGAGTGGAGAGGGAGTTAGGAAAAAGAGAAGGGGAAGAGAGTAGAACATGTGGGACCAGGAAGATTGAGTCAGGGGATGAATAGACAAGAGCAAAATAAATAAATAAATAAATAAATAAATAAATAAATAAATAAATAAGAGAGAGAGAGAGAGAGAGAGAAATACTATAATAGAGGAATAGAGGGAGCCATTATAGGTTTGAAGAGAAAACTGACACTAGAGAAATGTTCAGAGACTCACAAGACTGACCCCAACTAACAATCTGAGCAAGAGTGGAAAGGCTACCTTAAATACCCTTCCCTGATAATGAGACTGATGACTAACTTATCTGCCATCATAGAGTCCTCATCTAGTAGCTGATGGAAACAGAAGCAGATACTCACAGCTAAACACTGAGGAATCCAGTTGCAGAGAGGAAGAAGTGATAAGAAAATGGGGACAAGACCAGGCTACAGAAACAGACAGCTGACCTGAAAAGGGAGGGCTAATGGACCCCCAGATGGGTAACTGGGAAACCAGCATTGGACCGACTCAGATCCCCAGAACATGGGTCTCTGTTAGAAGGCCTGGGCAGTCTAAGGGACCTCTGACAGTGGAACCAGGATGTATCCCTGGCGCATGGAAAGACTTAGGGAGCACATTCCCCATGGAGGGATACTCCTTTAGCCTAGAGGCAGGAGGGAGGGCCTAGTCGCTACTCCAAATGACTTGACAGATTTTGTTGATCCCTCCTGGAAGGCATTACCCTCCCTGTGGAGTGTGTGTGTATATGTGTGTGGGGGGAGTTGGGAGGGGAGTGAGGGAGGGAGAGGGAACTGGGATCCGTATGTAAAATAAGAAAAATAATTTTTAAAAATGAAGAAAAAAGAAAAACAAAACAAAACAAAACAAACAAACAAACAAAAAAGAAACCAAAAGAAAGTGGACCCCTGTCCACCAGGATAGCACTACCTTTCTTGGGAAGGCACTGGTTCTCCATTTGATACTTAACTTCTTGTTGATGGGTTTGGTCTCCATCCACTGTGGATGCAAAACACGCTGGTCAGCATAATAAAGGAAGCAACTTAGGACTCCTATCTGACTGAAAGCTCTCTGACTGAGTCATCACCAGTACCCTTTCACCTCCAATGATGTCCTTAGTTAACATTTAACTTTCATGATCTTTTTTTAGTCATTTCAAATAAATAGAAAACCTGGTAACTAGAAAACAAGTAACCCTATCTATCCAGTTATTATTATTATTATTCAATGAAAAATAAAGACTTTATTACAGAAACAAAAGTTGAGGACACTTGCTGCTAGTAGGCTTGCCCTGCAAGACAGACTGACAGAAGGTCATCAGACAGGAGGAGGCAGCACTGCACATAAAAAGCTAAATGCTGGAAAAGGAGTAAATACAAGTAAAACTCATTTTTGTATATCTTTGTTGTTAATGTTTTTTGAGACAGCGTTTCTCTTTGTAACAGCCCAGGCTTTCCTGGAACTTGCTTTGTAGATTAATCTGGCCCAAACTCACAGAGATCCACCCACAGCTGCTCCCCAAGTGCTGGGATTAAAGATGTGCTCAACCACCACCCAGCTCATTTTCTGTATCTTAAGAGAGGTGAAGTACGACTGACTCTTAGTAATGCTACACTCTCTGTAGATAGACTGTTCTCCACAGCCCCATGTAAACCTGTCTGTAGCCTCAGTTTCTCTGGTAACAGAGTTACCTCAGCCAAGCCTCTGCTTGCTGGGCAGGGGCAGCTGGGATGGGGGAAGATGAGTTAGAATTCAATTCTCACATATGCTGTGAACCTGAACTTTGACTTCATCAGTTCACATGACTCCCACATGTCACTGAGACAATATCTAAGATTTGTGCATTTGAAGCATACTAGAATGCGTAGGGCATCAACCCCAATTTTCACACATTGAAACCTCCTTTGAACTCCCGTTTATACAACAAATACAACAGAGTACAGAGAAAGTATGCATAACTCACACACATATAGAAAAACACTACATGCATACTATACAGTACACATATATTTACACATACAAATTATATACAGAGAAAAATACTGCACACACCCTATGCATATGACAAAGGCCATGAATAATTTATACACACATATTACACACAGAGAAAACACTACACACATATAAACAATACACACATGCTACACATATATACAAATGCTACACAATACTAATCATACAATATAATATACACCCACAGAAACACTATGCATATATAAACAATATACACATAATACACACAGAAAGAAATACTACACACACAAGCATTACACACAGAGAAACATGACACATATAATATACATAGAACACAATACTATGGAAACTGCTACTACTACTACTATATACACACGTGGTGGTGGGGAGAGAAGCATACATACCACACACAGATAGGAAAGGACACACATACTGCACATGAAAAACACATAACAATACCACACACAACCTATATGCATAAGAATATGGTACATATATATCACACATAAACACTATTCACAAACCCAGTACACTCATACTATACACACAAATACACTACAAGCACACTATACATACACAAACCACATGTAAATGCACATCTCACACACATATTCAACACACATGAATAGTACAAATCCTCCTCACATGCAGTAGAAACTCCTCCACCCACAAACCAAACCTATACCCATCTCTATGGTCTATAATGATATGTGAGCACAAACTGCACGCAGCACATATTTTACTCACTTTCTGCCCAGTGTACTACACGGACCAGAACATTTACCCCTTCCTTCCTTCCTTCACTGTTATGCCACAACAATCACAGACGGCTCACCACACAGTCAACACCTTTCATTCCTCGTGTCCCTTCAAGTAATGTCCACTCATTCCTAAAATTACGTTCCTTTTCCCCTTCCTTGGGAAAAGCATCTAAAGATAAGCACATTCTTCCAACAAATTTCCTCACTTTGCTAACTACCTTGGGAAATTTTCTGCCAGGGAAGGACCCCTAAAGCCTTCTGGAAAAATAAAAGTTAATTTTACTTGGCACATATTAAAAATCACACTGACCTGATTAAGATACAATGGCCCTTCCTCCTCCCAGGAAGACTTTTCACTCAGCTTTAGTGCTGAATTCCCCTACTTGATGGCAAATCCTACACCAAATTCTTGACCTCCTCATGTCGAGGGTAATGTTTAATTTTTAACTTTTTTTTTACCCTAGCCTTGCATCTTCTGAGAAGAAACATAAGTCTTGAGAACATCCACAGAATTAGAACCTCCTGGGAACCAATCAGCAATTTCAGGATTTAATAAACAGCTCCCATAGTCTCCAACCTACCCAGGAAGGTGAATGTTTTCCCAAAGTGTTCCCAAGATGTCTCAATTGAGGAGGACTTTGGAATTCCATGGATTGTCACAGAAATGCTATGGTTCTAGTGGTGTCCTATTAGCTTTATTATTTTCCTCCTATTTCTCTCCCTACCTTCCTTCTCTCCCTTCTCTCCTCTTTCCCTTCTACCTCTACCCACATTCCCTGTCCTCCCTCCCTCCCTCCTTTCCTCCCTTCCTCCCTCCTTCCTTCTCTCCCTTTTTCCCTCCCTCCCTTCCTCTCTTTCTTTCCTTTTTTTCTTTCCATTCCTCCTTCTCTGATGCTTTCCCCCTTCCTCCTTCCCCTCCTGTTCCCAGTCTTCCTTCTTCCCCACTCCTCAGAGGTCATACCTGTTTGACATTTGATGTGTTCAGATAGTTGTGTGTTTTCTTACAGCCTGCCTTTCAAAGCTGTGGCTTGCTCTGTGGTTTTTTTCTAGCTCAGCTCCTGGTTCTTCTGAAACAGTTGAGCTGAAACTCTTTGAATGTAATCTACTGGTCAATTAGGGACATATAAGCCCTTAATCAGAAAATTTTCACTGTTGATAACTTGTTAATATACTAAAGCATTTTAATTTTTATTATGCCTATTCAATACCCATCAATATTTGACACTTAGCAGATGCTTCGTGACTTGAACCATAATTTCACCCCTAAATAGAAATGTTGAGGTCAGATGTGGCACAAACCTGTGTATACAGAGGCAAGAAGATCGTGAGTTTGAAGCCAGTCTGGACTACATAACAAGTGCCAGACAAGCTGTAGATGTGCAATGAGATCCTGTATCAGAAAATGAAAGAGAAGGGAGAGATTGAAGGGGAGGGGAGGGAGGGGAAAGAAAATTCAGATGTTGAAAAACCTGGAGTCTTGTCTTGTTACACAGTGGGAGTTAGGATTCTATGAGTCTCTTGTGTGAGGCAGCAAGTCTGTACTCTGCTTGATACTATGTCTGGCAATATCTGGTACTTTCCAGAAAAGGGGACTTTTTTAATGATTGAAAGCTCCAAGTTAGGAGTTGTTCAATGTCCACATTTTGAATAAACAACACTACCAGATGGCGTCAATGCCCCAAGTTCTAGGTACAGATTGCATAAGAAGGCTACCTCTTTCCATTTGCTGCCTCCGCTTCCTGTTGCATAGTGAGGCTCTCAAGTTGCTTCATCTGAATTCCATGTTTTGCTAATTAAAATTTCACTTTAGGTGTTTATCATGGAAAATTTCAAACACACAGAAGAGGTAGAGCAGTCCAGTGTAACAGTGAACTTATTAATTGGCTTCAATTGTTTTTAGCATTTGAATTTCTCTGCCCACCATTTGTTTCTGTAGTATTCTAAAGCAATTATCAGACATCATGTAATTTCTTCTGCAAAAAACAAAAACAAGTATGAGAAACATATTTATAGAATGATATCTCCCATCATCTCCTCTTTCCTGTCTAAAATACAAAGAAGGGTTTTAACCTTAGCATAGCAAAATTTATCACACAACAGTTATCAAATAAGAATCACAGTTAACAATATTTAGTCCATTAACACTTAGTAAGACTTAAAGAAAATAGTCTATCATCTATCCTATCTTTGTGAGTCTAAAGTCTTATATGTAACTTATCTTTAATCCTAACTAAGGAAAACTATAACCATAACTATCTGTCTTCATCTCCTTCAAAGACCACAGAAGGATAATATATGAACTCTAGAAATGACAGAGACATCTTGCCTGGTCAGTCACCTGAAGTTCTTCTATAATGTTCCATCTTCAGCCTATAGGCCATAGTGTGTCTGTCAGACTCTTCAGCAAAGCAGGAAACTTTAAACTGTCTTCTTGTATTGACAGTTTGTCAGTCACTTTTCTCTGTGTCCTGTACACTGTCTGGCAGACTCTTCCATGAAGCCGGAACCCTATAGCAATGTCTACCTTGTATCAGCAATCACTTTCCTGTGGGTCCTGCATGTTCAGTTTATATAGCATGAAGTATCTTGCCCAAATGGCTAGTCTTGCCATATTGAAAGCAAACTCCATAACAAGTTTCTTTGATGTCCATCTTCCTTTCTGACTCAGGTGGTGTTGCCAGGTGCAGTTATGTCTCACTGTCAAGAGAAACCCTAAATCATTTTAAATGCCATATTCTGTAGGTCTTTGGAAGGTTTGAAGAATACTTATTCATCTCAAATATATCTCTGTATATCTAGAAATCCTAACTAACTTAACTCTAAGTTTTCACTATCATAGGTAATTATCTATAATCTATGTTAAATTATACATTACATTTTAAATGAGCTATATAAACACAATACCTAAACAAGAGGAGAAATATACATATCACAAAATTGACCTTAAATTGTATCAATAAATGATAATCCATTCCAAAACAAAGTATTCCTATCTATACCATAATCCCCTTTTTACCTTTAAAAAGAGATTGGTTGTGGTCATTAACCATTTATAACCAACCCCATTTAAAAGAAAACAACATTTATAAACAATATTTGGGAATTTGGGTGTCGTTCTTTCCAAATTGCTTCCTGCTGGTAGGGGGCGCTGTCATTGGGGATCCTAAGAAGATGCAGAAATCCTGACTGTAGTCTGCAAGGCTGCCTTGTTCAAGCTGTTTTGAATGTTGGATCACCAGGAACACTGTTTCAGGGGGTCTGGCTTGATCAAACCATGTTAGTCTGGAAGGAATTCACAGCTTTCCATTTTCTGTAGAAACAAAAATAGAAATCCTTTTCCCCAGTAACTTGTCCTTAGACTTAAATTTTGGAGTCAAAGTCTTTCTAAAATATATAAATTGGATTGATCCAGCAGCATTTGTTTTAACAGTTGTTGTTATTTCTTCAGCAGTCAAACGATACAAAGACAATATAATACCTTACAGTATCCAGATTTTCTCCATCTTTATGTGGCTTTTTTATTATTCTGTTTTTTTTTTTTTTTTTTTTGTTTTTTTGTTTTTTTTTTTTTTTTTTTACTTTTTATTTTTTCATTTTTTTGAGACAGGGTTTGTGTAACTTTTATCTGTCCTGGAATTCACTCTACATACCAGGTTTACTTTGAAATCACAGAGATCTGCTTGCCTCTGTCTCCCGAGTGCTGGGATTAAAGGGCCACCACACCCAGCTCCTCGCTGTCTTTCTCTCTCTCTCTCTCTCTCTCTCTCTCTCTCTCTCTCTCTCTCTCTCTTTTGATTTTTTTAAAAAAATTTTTTTAATATGAAAATTTCCAAACCTTGAAAACAAACAAACAAATAAACAAAAACAAAAACTCAGCATAGAAACTTAATTCATCATAGTTAACACTCTACAAACACTAGTAAATTAGCAAAACCCTTTTAATTTCCTCAACCACTTCAGAGTTGTCTTCTTTATGTTTGATTGGGTTTTGTTTGTTTATTTCTTTGTTTGTTTTGGAGACAAGGTCTCATGCAACCCAGACTGTCTTAGAAGTCATGATGTAGTCAAGGATGGGCTTGAATTCCCAATCCTCCTACCTCTACATAGCAAGTGCGGGGATTTCAGATATGTGCCGCCATGCCAGGTTAGATGCAGTAATGGGCTTTGTAGATGATGGTCTAGCACTCTACAAACTGAGCTACAGCCCCAAAGAGCATGTCATTATTTTTAACACATGTGTTTATATGTGTGTCTATGTATATGAGTGTGGGTGCTCTCAGAGTCCAGGAGAATGCAGTAATGCAGTAGTGGGCCTTGTAGATGATAGTCTAGCACTCTATAAACTGAGCTACAGCCCCAGAGATCATGCCATTATTTTTAACATAATGTGTTTATATGTGTGTGGATGCTCTCAGAGTCCAGGATTATATTCCCTACAGCTCGAGTTACTGGTGGTTGTAAACTTCTTGACACGGCTGCTGGAAACTAAACTTGAGTCCTCTGGAAGAGCAGGAAGCATTCCTGATCTCTGAACCATCTCTCAAGCTCCTACATGTCATTATTTCTTTACTGTCACTTGAGAAACTTACTACCTTAATGAGATAGCTCACTGGTTTTACCCTTGAACAATTCAGTCCCAGTACCACATGCATTCTGTCCACGTAAGAAGTTCATGTTACACCCGGGAATGTTGGTACTGTACTGGGGCAGGGGGATCATGAATTTGAGGCAACTTGGGCTACATGTAGAGTTCCAGGCTAACTTGTGTTGCATATTGAGATCTTATCTAAAGAAAGAAAGAAAGAAATATGCAAATAAATAAGTAATCGTGTGAAAAATAGTCATATATAACTACGAATAGTGGAATATGCTCATAATCCCAACACTTGGGAGATTGTGGTCGGGAGATCATGAGCTTGAGCTGAACTAGGACAACACAGAAAGTTCAGAGGCCCAAAGGTCAGCCTAAGTATATGAGTATATATCTGGTAATGAAATAAGCATTGGCACACCTAGTCAAGAGGAGACCATAGTCTATACAGACCAGGAATATCCCACACTTTGGCTTTCCTAGGCTATGTAGGATGAAGAATTTCCTTGGCCACACATTAAACACAGGAACACTCACACAAAGTGATAAACAATAAAAATGTCTGTGTATAATCTGCCACTCCAGTTAAGCAAAGTCCTTACACAGTAGCCCCAATTATATAGTGCCCCATTAGGAGAGTCAGAGTTGATGAGAAGGCTCCAAGTTTATGATCAATAATAAAGAAGGTGAACCCATCTAAGTAATAAATCTCCATTGACTTAAAATATAAAAGTAAAAGAAAAAGCTATGTGGTGCTGGTGTGTGCATTTGATCCTAGCATTTGGGAGGTAGATATCTATGAATTTGAGGCCAGCCTGGTCTACAGAATGAGTTCTAA